GACCAATCCATTCGCCGATAGATAATTGTTTGTTCATCATATCTGGTTCAAGGTGAATCATGGGGTTACGGTACTGGGTATCAGAACAAGTTATGAGGTAGTGTAAGTCAGTAAGCAAACCACCAACCAGCAGGTATTGGTGTCCTTCGGGAAATCATTGACGAATCATTTTTTACGTTCACAGTGAGCGCAACAATTCCTACAAGAACTACAACTTTTTCTATCCATTCGTCTTCTAGGACTGCCGTTCTGCACCCAACAGCGAGGTTAGATGTGTTTGCTTTCAGAAATCTGTTTCGAATTTTCTGTCTTTCATTTTTTGTACCTTAAAACAACAACTGAAGGAATGTTCGCTTGTTATATGACCAGTTGGGCTATGAATGCTTATTCATACAATGTATGTCCACGACCGCTTATCCGTAAGCTTAAGGCACAGTTCATGATAAAAATGTTTTTTGAGATTCCCACAAAATGAATTTGAGGCCCCGCGTTTACCATATCTGGCACAATTAGGTGGAAAAACGGCCTAGTTAGGGAGTTCAAGGCTCAAAGATTGGCCCGTGTGTATCCTCGGACGAGTTTCACCGGCATTGTAGAGGCTGTTCCGATCACAAGGGAACCCATGTAGGGAGTTCAAACAACTTGTCATGACCCATAGCGACAATGGAAGACAGTTCTGTACAGTTCTGGCTTGAGTTAGTCAGCTCTTTGCGCAATTGCAATAACTGAAATCTCGTCCGAAAACCCTTTCCATGTTATTTCCGTCATGGTAATCTCGTCCAACCTCTATTTTCCCTACTTTTGAGAAGCCATGTTATTCTCGAAATCGGCGAATTCTCTCACTTTCTTCGCTACCGATGAACTCTTCCCAATCTACACTTCCGCTTTTCGAGTAAAAACGGGTACCTAGAAATTATCGTGAACTGTGCCTTTAAGAGTTTTGCAGGTACTTTATCAGGCGATATTGAATTTCCGTGCAAATAGACAGACGCGAGCGCTTTGTATATAGTAAGGATATTACTTTCGGTTTTCTGGCCTGATTGTAATCGATTCTCTTACTTTTCAATGTGAATAGACTTCTTTGTTCCTGAGTATCACCATGTTCTTCTTCTTCCCTCTCATTACTATGCCTCTGAATAATATGCCTTCCGCTGTCCCTTATCTTATGTATATCTGTCGTAATGCCCTCTTTTCTGGTTCATACCTTCTTGAAGCCAATTCTCTGCAAGAGAGTGATATCTACTCCTATTTGTAAGATGTTCTACTGGAATATCACACCCTGGATTACCCAACAATCCATCGATCCCATTTGGTATGCGCCAGCGTATTGCCTTTCATTCAAGATCATATAGTTATTTGAATGGGTATGGGGCTCAATGTTTTTATTCTCCCATACAGTGTAGTACCATCAATCAAACTCTGGGTGAAAGAATAGCTCAGTTTGTTGATTGGACATCGATCTAGGATTCAATCCCCGGACCATAGTGCCTAACAAGTAATTCTGAGGCAAGTAATGATGTTTAGAGTGTCTAGGGTGCCTAAAAGCGCCACCCAGCTCCATTTAGATACAGAGCGAACAACTCTTGTTCTTATCTCGATTTTTCAGCAACCGGGGTAATAATGGTTTTCGGTTTTTTATGAGTCATGCACCTTTTTTTCGTCAACTCAAAGTACAATTACGGTCTTACATCTTTATAGGCCACTAAAGGCCTTTAAAGATCTATATAGAACTTAAAGAGCCTCATACGACCCTATAGCAAAGGACTACGTGCAACAAGTACTTATGAGGCCCCAAAACATTACATGGACCTCAAAAAGCATGGCGTTCATTGGATACCCTCATCAAATTGTTTGTTCACGCGGTCATAACGTGAAGTGTCTGTTGACGCTGGCCTTCTTTTCACTCAAATTCACGCCCCTTTCAGCCGGCGGAACGTCATAGGCTCTCTATCGGTTTATCTCCTTTGGTGCCATCAGAATCATCGTCTTTGCAGTATTTTGCTTTCCAATCCGGCATAACTGGAAGGAAACTACGTCATACACACCAGTACATGCGGAAGCGATTAACAAGGAGGAAGTGTGGGGAACGAATCTAGGGGGAATAGAAGCAAGCGATGGTGAAATGGCAAGTTTGATGGGGCCTCACTAGGAGAGCAGGTAAAAAGAGTCAGAATAGGAGAGACAGCGTGAGCGTTGCCCCAACATTACGACATCATTGCCATTAGGTAAATTTGTTGTCTCCCTCCCACGTATAAGCGGATGGGATATAAAATTGGTAAGGTATAAATAGGATATGTGTGGGCGCCCAGTAAAGCGTGAATGAGATTCTGCATGGAGGAATTAAGTCTCCGAAGGGAAGCCCACGCCTAGAACTTTTCGTAATAACCCAGTGGATCATCGATCTAAGTAGTGTGTGAGGAAGATGGAGGCATGTAGGGAATTTTATGAGGACATCAGCATAGGGTGCTTCACTGAAAACGAAGTTGAGGATTATACACCAGGGATCAAAATGAATTTTTTGGTATGCGAACGATGGCGACCTGAGTAATGTTGGTAGGAGGAGACAAGATTTCCAACGGGAGACTTTGAGAAGGTTGCTTTAACGGGTTACGGGGTATTCATCTCCACCTAGTCATAACACCAGCCATACCCTTAGGATTGGTGAGTCATGGACAAAACTTTGGCCTCGGACGGGACTCGAACCCGTACGTGTGCTATCCAGGCACCGTGCGAAAGTCTCCGCAGAGACTGTTTTGAATTAGCTGAGACTTTCACTTGATCAAGGNGAGCTCCATCAATTTTTCTTCCAGTCAGCATCCGACACCTTGAAATCAAGAAGGAACAGTCTGATTCCTTTTGATTAGGGACAATCTTTTTTGGTGTTCCAGTTGATATAAGAGTTTGATTAAGGAAGGTCCAAGCTTGAATCAGAGGATGGATAATCGGGCCTTTCTTTCTTATCACTCTACCAGCTCGACTTATATGTACGGTAGCCTGAGCATGCAGTCAACCTCTGAAATCAAAACTTTTCTGTCATTCTGCAAATCGAGATGCTTTCAAGCAGTAGCATAGGGGGAGATGAGTACCGTTTGTAGTTAGCATGAGGGGGTAGTTCATGTACACCATAAGGTTCTCATTTTCACTTTCCCTCGACATTTCGATGAGAATCATCGCAGAAACTCATCAATAGCCACCCCGTCGTTAAGATCTCTGGTCAACAGAAAGCTCAGATGGTGTAATAGTGATGCTTTTGCCATAGTGTGAATCTCAGTTCCAATTCATCTTCTATAAGCCTGGCTACGTCTTTGCTTTCAATGTCTTTCCTTAACTCCACTCCAAGACGGCCTTCAAGAAGCAAGAGAGAAGGATCACCGGGTTTTAGACATAGAAGGACTTTCGCTGAGTACTCAATTAACCCAATAGTTTCTGAAAAACTTGGTAATACATACAGCGAGATAACGGGTTACCTCACTTGTGGTATTCTGTGAAGAAAAGATCGTTTTGTTGGATTTGCGACTTTTGAATTATAGTAGGTAATTATAGCATAATTCGAAAACCTCAGCTCTGCTCCTGGATTTATTTTCAAACATTTTGACCCATCTGAAAAGGTTACTTTTTTAATTTGCACGTATAGTTAAAATAAGTTACCGATTAAAGGTATAAGGTAAAGAGAAGTCTTCGATGTTCGTCAATCATGTTGTATGCCACGCATTCAAGGTCGATTTCACAGAAGTCAATGACTTAAATGGTATCGGCCACTGAAGGACCGCCAAAGACACCTATTCTTTGAAGTATTGAACGGCAATGAGCGTGTGGGCCAATTTATAAATCCTTCTTGTGCATCCTATAGGCTGACTTTCTATCTGACAATCTCCTACATGCTTACTCAAAGCCATAAACCTGTAGGACAGCTGCGAAACTAAATTTCGTTGTGAACTGTCACTCTGAAGTGGCTGATTTATTTCCGAAGAAGGAATCTTTCTGTTTCTCGAAGAATCCAGGTGATTTCAAGCGATGCAAACTTTTGTTCACTGAAACCCAAACAGATTTAACAAAACACTGGCAGCTCCGGTTTGATTTTTCCAATTGAAGGGAACAAGTTCCATTAGGTATCAGCTGACGAGCATCCCTATAAACTTATTTCCTTAGGGGATAATTTTTCCCAGTCAACACTTTGGTGATCTCTTTCCTAGCTACCCTACCCTAGGGTTCTTGTTCACTTCCCCTACATCACCATGACTTTCTCGCAGAATGAAATGGCTTGACAATCGTACTCTTCCATCTTTATCTGAATACACATACATCAGATTCTGAAGGTTGATTGTAAAGTATCCCTTTCACCGCCTATTTACCCCCATCCCTGTTCGAATTCTGGTACTTTTTCGCAAAAAAGTAGCGATTCTGTTTACTTAGTGCTCAGTTTCTGGCCGTTTGCACTACGGAATTTTGCAGCCCACAAACCGAAGGGGTCGCTTTTTAATTTGCCTGTTTCCTTTCCGTTGCTTTTTAATTTGCCTGTTTCCTTTCCGTTCCGTAACTAAAAGCTCTCTGGTGCACTTGCTGTTCTGCAGACAAGTACCACTTAGTATTTGGACTCAGGTTTAAGGTATTGATGATGATTAATACTCTATGGCAATGAGTAAGGGTGACCAAATGAAGCAAACGTTGAAGCGCGGCCTGTTATGTTGACCGTAGGCTTTACTAAACCCACCCAAACCAATGCCTGAGACGAAAGCCTCTGTTTGTTCCGTATGTCTGCCTTCAGTCGTCGAATTGAATTTCATTCACTTCAAAGCCTCAATTCTGTCTTGCGTTTGCATCCTTTCATGCATCAATGTTTAACTTTTATGCACCCTTGCGTGCACTTACTCTTCACCACTCCCTCCGAATGTCGCTGATTCCGTCGCCGTTCTGCTTGCCGTCGACATTCTCTCTCTTCTAGTGCATTTCCCTTGCTGTTTAGAGCACGATTCGGTCGCCAATCGACCGGATATGTGGTGATGCCACGAGACAGCAGCGAAGAAGTGACCAGAGAGAACTGGAGCCGACGATTCTCGAAAACGGTGTTCGCCAATCTGGTACCGTTCCGTAAGACGAGTGACGAACGAAAATCACCTACGGCTCAGGCGAAATCACGTCGTCGTGCCAGTGCCGCTCCTGACGTACTGCTCGCCACTAGCGCTGCTCCTAGTCCAGAAATCAGCGCTGTACACAAGCAACGACAAAGACGACGTAGTGCCGACCGGATATACGCACTCAAGAGCAATCAGGTACACATGAATGCGTTTCTTTTTCTGAACCATCATTCGGCTACCAGGTGAATTCACCTTCTCACCTTTCTTCACTACGAGAATGTTGAATCTCTCGACACCTCCACAGTCTTTCTTTCTCTTTGAAAGCTCCCAATGTTTCTGCTTCTCCTTATTCAAGCTGAACCCTCTTGAAAAATTCGCATATTTTCCATGTCATCAGCGTGGGAATTGTGTCTTCAACGTTTAGCGCTAAGCTGGTACATTTTATTCATATTACAGAACAAATTGGAATCATTGTCTGTAGCTTTAGCCGTAGCTTTTCTTCTGATGGTTTTCTATGGATATCTAAGCTCTGTTCATCTACTTGCGCTTTTCTATTCTTTTATGAAGAAGCCTTCAGTTCCGAATGTTTTTGGTCAAAGATAAGATCACCCTGGCGAAATTGGAGGTGGTTGTGATTAGTAGGCTGACCTTCGAGTATGCTGAATCGGGAGGGGAGATTTTTCTTAACGGCCACGATTGACGTAAAAATAGTTCGTTCATCACAGACCCTCTGCATCCGCACTCGTCCTGCACGACTTTTTTGAGGTTCCCAACTACCCCACCACCCCATTTCTTCCGCTTCATGAGTGAGGTTCTTCCTCTCCTTTTCTTCAATTGTATCTTTTGCACTTGTGATTAGAGAGGGACAGAGCGGTCCCCATGCGGATCCCAGGATGCCTATTCGTTTGGGTGTTATCTAAGCTGTCATGGCGCTTTCCATCGTCTGGAAACCTGGGGGAACTGAGTTGCGCCTTTTCACTTCCTGTTCCTATTTTGCTTAAAACGTTGAAATGTGCAATCTGGTGGTAGTTATGGAGTCGAGAGAGCGCAGACGATAGCAGATTTTTGTCGGAGGATCGCAGCTTTTGCAAATGGATGTATAGCGCTCAGTTCCGTGAGACTCGCTGAAATTAGAAAAATGCCCTTCACATCAGGTTTGCGTAATGAACCAACTGAAGGGACAGTTTCGACAATTATGGGGTATCCAGTTTTAGACGAAGAGAGAAGAGACAGTCCAGAATAGTACAAAAGTTGCGAAGAAAACGCCAAAATCGGCGTATTCAATGGAATATAAAGTCTAAAGTCTAAAGGATGAGTCTTGGGGCGTTAATCCATCCCGTCTGAGGGATGCGCCCACGCATTCGATTTCCGCACAGAATCATAGTGGCGTTTTGAATGCGTATGGGGCCTATACAACGACTTGCGGTGGCCAGCCGATGTACATATCAGTGCCTTTATCCTCCCAGTCGAGTCTGGTCCCAATTATCCGACCCCGGAGGCACGGAAGGCTTCGTTGGCCTAGACGGATATCGATCCGGGATTCGAACCCGTGACCATGCGCGTGTGAAGTGTGCCACTTACCACTACACCACCACGGCCCTATGTAAACGGTCCTATGTAAAGAAATAAAATGCTCCAAAGGGTAGTAGGGCTAGGAGCTGCAGAATGTGACGACAAAAGCTGCATGAGAGAGGTATTTGGATGAGCTGTCCAAATTTGTGTGGCATTGCGTACCGCTAGCCACAGTAAGCTGCCTGCGTGCAACGTGTGCGTCCCGAAGCGAATCTAGCAACCTCCGCAGCCTCCACAACGCCCTTGAGTTATCCTCAAGGATCACAAGTCCATCCCAGCGAAAAACCTAGGACATAAGTAAACCGTCCATAACACAAAGCTGCAAATTTGCCATTCACCTCGTGTGATGAATTCGCGGCGCTATCCTCGAGGCATATTCCTAGAACAAATTTCTAGGACTTATTTCCGATAGAAGGTGGTCTTTACATTCGGTCCATAGCGGATTCTCAAATTTCAGTGATTATTTCATCCCGATCGAATCAAAACTGAGTTTATCGAGTTTTTGAAGCGTTGATAAGCCTCTTCGGAACACTGGAAGCAATGGGGAGCATCCACACATTCCTTTTTCTCCTGCTGGGGTTGTTAAAATTTGCAACTAAGTTATTGGGAAGTGATCTACCCCGTCATCTTCTTAACTATCAGCAAAATGGTGATTGGGTTTTATGCAAATTCGTCACAAACGAACAAACGAACGAGGGGGG